GTTTTTTGAACTTTAAACCGCATAAACACATTTCATTACACCAAATACACAAAATAATGTTCTTTTTAGCAGCATCATATGACCCCTTTAAAAAAATATTTTGTAAAAATTTGGACAGATTCCCCCAACCACCCACACGTAAAAACTCATTGGATCTGCACGAATCACATAGGCTAAAATACACATTTTGGCTTCAAAATGCGAAATTCACCAAAAGGCACTGACTTTAAAGCGCTATCAGTTTTGTTCCTGCAATAATCATGGAATGTAACTATAAAATTTAAAAATATTTCATTTTTGTCTTTTGGAAGTTGCATTCAAATCCATTTGGCTCAAAAATCTGAAGAGGCACGTGTCCACCCTAAGGTCCACCCCAGCGAACAATTTTTGGTTCCCAGAACGTTAGTTTTTGGTTCCCAGAATGTTATTTTTTTATGGTTTGTTTTTGGTTAGCCAGGAAAGTTTTCTTAACGTTCCCAGAACGTTATTCTTATGTTCCCATAACGTTATTCTAATGTTAATCTAACGTTCCCAGAACGTTATTCTAACGTCAATCTAACATTCCCAGAAAGTTAGTTTTTGATTCCCAGAATGTTAATCTAACGTTAATCTAACATTCCCAGAACGTTAGTTTTTGGTTCCCAGAACGTTATTCTAACGTTAATCTAATGTTATTATAACGTTCCCCTAACGTTAGTTTTTGGTTCCCAGAACGTTATTATAACGTTCCCCTAACCTCTTTACTCCGATATGATCACCCCGCTGTACGTCAGTAATCATTCAGCACACTCGTGACCCAGTATAGTATAAGCGGCATGGAAATTATCTGTATGGACGCCTAATCAGTATTATAAAAACCATATCTTGTTTTTATAGGTTGTTTAGGTAATAATCTGAGCACATCAACCATCATATGTAAGATTAAGTAAGATTAAATCTGTCCATTAATATGTAAGATTACGGAGTACCCAGATTTTAAATTTCTTCAGCACCAAATAAAAATGACTTCAACACAATGTATGGTTCATAAAATATGACATTATTCACAGAACAGGTGAAAGCACGTGCTGGAGAATAGTGATGGGAAGTTCGGCTCTTTTCAAAGATTCAGCTCTTTTGGCTCGGCTCCCTTAGAAGAGCCTGCTCTTACGGCTCCCAAATGGCTCTTTATTTAGTATCACTCTGAGCCTTCATGAGTGAATGGTTTGTGTGTTGGTAAGCAATTTTTTATTCAGTGTTTTCATAAAAGCATTATTTTTATGCTTTTTTTTTTCGTTACAAAAAAATACACAGATACTATTATTTAACATTTTAATAAAACTTTAATTGAACAATTGAACACAGATAAAGCTTTTATGAAAACACTAAATAAAAAATTTCTTACCAACACACAAACCATTCACAATTGCTAAACTGGCCTAAAATAGAAGGCTCCGGCTGAAGATTCGACTCTCCCCGACGGGAGTCGGCTCTTCTCGTTCGCTACAAAGAATCGGCTCTTAGAGCCAGCTCGTTCGCGAACGACACATCATTACTGGAGAAGCGCGTGCAGATCAGAGGCGCGCAGTAAATAAAGATGAAACAAACCCACGAATTTATGATTTCTGTTATCACTCTATGCTTAACCATGGCTTAATATTATAATTTAAAACGCGTTTTGATTTATCTAATTTCTGTATTTTAATATGCTTAACGTTCCCAGAACGTTAGTTTTTGGTTCCCAGAACGTTATTCTAACATTCCCATAACGTTATTTTAACATTCCCATAATGCTATTCTAACGTTCCCATAACGTTATTATAACGTTCCCAGAAAGTTAATCTAACGTTCCCATAACATTCCCCTAACGTTAGTTTTTGGTTCCCAGAACGTTATTATAACGTTCCCCTAACCTCTTTACTCCGATATGATCACCCCGCTGTACGTCAGTAATCATTCAGCACACTCGTGACCCAGTATA